TACCAGACTATTTTTTGTTGTTCCTATGGAAGTCATATTAATTCACTAACATAAAAGAAAGAAAATATATTTCACTGAAAATACAAAAAAAAATACCTAGCACCAAACCAAACTTCTTCTAAACTCTGTTTTAGGGTCCAATCCTGCACCCTTGTCTCATGCAAATAATTCTATTCAAATAAAGTAATCTATGTCCAGATCTGCACATAGTACTTACATTAGTACATCTACATTTGTTCATTTGGGGTTTATGATAGAACAAAAACATGCATTTAGAATTTATATATTACTTTCATTTCTGTTGATATGCAGGCCTGATAAAAGAACAGAAAAATGCATCATGATGGGGCAGAGAGGACTTGCCCCTGCCCCTCTGGGTATAGGGAATACCAAGAAGAATAAACAATTCCCCATCTGTCGCTTGTGTGATTCTTGGCAACTTATCTCTTAACTGTAACCTCTTGCACTGCAAAAATCTTCCTAAACAGGTAGTCTGTGACATCAGTGAAGTGCAAATTAAACTTAGCTATTGTTCTTCTTACCTCTCTTTTCCTAGGTGCTGCAGTAGGCTATACCTGTCTTGCCCTAACAGTAAATGCTCTTTTCTGGGTTTGCGGGTAGGCTCTCTGCACTGAAGTTAAAGGGGTCAGGACTGTGAAGCAAAGGGCCATTCCTAAGTAGTCATTGCCACAGAGTAGAGACAGACCCTGCTGGAAATCATGGAGGTGGTACATGTGGAAACTCGGGAGCCACCAGAGTGATCCAGATGCTCATTCGAAGACTTGTCTGCCAGTAGGATGTTCTGAGGAGACTGGTTATGTGACTGTTCTCAGATAGCCTCAGAGGTAACTAATGACCAATTTCCAGTATCCTCAGACATGTGAGAAAGAAGGTTCTTGTGCTCTTAGGTGTTTTTTTACTAATACATTTAAACATTGTACCAGTTCACCTCTTACATACATCTTTCCATGTCTTTTGAGCGCTTGCAAGCTACAGAACTTATTGCCTTGAAAGTGAAGACCACCACAGCTTCCAAGTCTGCAAGACTGGCTGTGGTTTTCCTGAAACATGTGACTTACATCCGGGCTACTAAATCTCACAGGCACATTAAAAACGTCCCATTCAGAAGTGTTATGTGATGCAGTTTCTGTGCCCTCTGGACAGTTGCCATATTTCATCAAGGACAAAAGAGATTCTCAGATGAGGATGGCTGAATATGGCGGGGAGTAGCAGTTCCATTAATAAGAGGGTAGTCCAAATCCAACCTATGCTGAAAGGTAAAATATGAGAGTCTCTTTGTAGACATTAGGAAGTCAAAACATCAGCACTGTCTTTTTTAAAATAAGATTTCTAAGGTTTAAACCCCCCTCCCCAATATTACAAGATTAAAATGACAAGAGTCAGTAACATTGTCTTGCAGTGAACAGGAGGCATTCTGAAATCTCAAATGAAGCATTTTGAAGTCATACTTACACGCTTACTTTGAAGTGATATTTACAGACTTTGTAAATCATCTATGCAGATTGCTGCATTATCATAAACTCTGAGAAATAACATAGCTGCCCTCCAAACTGATCAAAGAATCTCATATTTTCTGTAACAAACATATGCTAGTTAAAATTAGACAATGAAATTGCAGAGACAGAAACCCTGTCAGACTGTGCTATTATAACAATAAATGAACATCACAAATGAAAGTCAATATTTAGGAATGGGTATGGCAAGAGAGTACCACATACAGTAGACAAGTCGCTGTGCAGTAACTGTGAGCATCTTTACAGAAACATCTTTAGTTTTAGGCACTTTGCTGTCATGTTTGTAGTGACTGTCCTTCTGGCCAGTTTGAAACAGAAGACCTGCAGAAACAAAGCCTCTCAGCTTGAAAAAACAGAACTGTAAATTTTATATTACCTATAGACTGGGCACAGGCCAGTCCATGAATTTGCTATGGAAGTTGGGGTGCTGGAGTTAGCTATGTGAGCAGGTCAGACCAAGCAGAGCATTAAGTTGTTCTAGTGATTCTGCTTACAACACCTGAGCTGTATCATTTAGAGTTAGCTTAAATAGATCTACATTGTGTAGACACTCTTGCTGACCTTTGGCTTACATGTAAAGGAAGTTTTATCAATTAATCACTGGGAACCTTGTATTACAAATAAGCTTTCATCTTTCTGTTGTCCATAGGAAAAGAACAGTGTCTACCGTATGTGACACCCTAATGGACTCCTGGAAAACTACCACCTAGGCAACTAATTTAATACTTTTGTTGTTTAATACTTTTTGTAAGCCTGGGATCTTTCATACTGACCCAAGCAAAGGGGGTTCTCTCCTTGAAGAAAGAGAACCCTGTCTTTTTATCCCTGTGATGTTCCATCCATAGCATTTATCTTTAACATAATCCTCAACATATGTTGCTAGCTAGCAAGGGATATAAAAATACATTTTTTTATTTTTTTTTTTTTTTTTTTTGAGGCCGAGATCTACTGTAGCAATGTCTTCAGCCATGACCATCCCAAAAAAGATGCTACAAATCAACTTCAGCACCAGGGTATGAAATCATGTTAATAGCAATTATGTGCCCTGCTCCCAGGAGCATCTGTCAGGCTGAGTATCTTTCTGCGTTCTCCTGTTTTGCAGTAGACTACACACACCAAGTTACTTGTGAGGCACATAACAGCCTTATTCCAACCTAAATAAAAACCACTTGTCTGAAGTAACTGGTAATTTGCCTAACAGCAAAAGTCCCTCGTTAGATTATGGCCCAAATTAAAATGTTTGTTGCAGAAACAGGTTTCTTTCAGTCATATTGCATATAAATGTATATGCCCAATAGGAGACACAAAAAAAGTCCTTGAGCTGGGCTCTGTGATGTTTCTAATCCCACACTTCACCGATGAAAGTCAGGTCTCTAACTGTTTTCAAGCCAAGGCACTTCTAAACACCTGTGGCCCAACCTAGGCTTGTTACATGTGATGATTCCATCCTGGTTGTGTGTGGGATGAACAAGAGACAGGGCAGCACTCTCAGCCTTTTGTAGTCAGAGTAACACAGTATCACACTAAATTCGGGGAAGCGGACAATACTAGAGAGAGCACTCTGTGTCACAGCTTTACACGTCAGCTTTCAGAAAGCACACTGAAACTGTTTATCCAGCATCTTATAAAAGCACCATTGAAAGGTTGAACAGAGAGCACCGCGTATACAGACTTGTGATCAAGACAGCAGACAGGAGCTGTTCAGGGAGCCACGGAGAAGCATGCAGCCTGGAAGAATCCCTGCAGGATGGATTCCCTGAAGGCACGGTAGACGAGGGCTTAGAGAACGAGGCAGCTGGTCCTCAGCCAGTTGCTGCTGTGGGGATGGTCCAGCTCTGAGTGACTCAGTATGGATCCCCACACCTACTCACCCCTCATGCCATGAATCCTGCTACATGTAAGCAAGCCTGCAATTGATATTACTAGAAAGACGGAAACAACTAGTTGTTCACAGTTGACATGGACAAAGACCACCACCTCCCTGAATGCTCACTGTTGAAAAACTTCGGTTCTTCAAAAGAAGACTGATAATTCTTATTGCAAAGCTTCGTCATCGTAGCTACATTACTGGGCTTTTCAGAGGATGTCTATGAGAGACTATTGCTATTGTAGGGCTAATTGAGGTCCAGTACATTTAATGTGTCTCTATAAAGCTGTTTCGAACTTAGACAAGTAAATGTTGGGGTTGTCCCTTTGTACTTTTGAGTTAAACAAACACAGTATGGAAAAGAGTATGGAAGTACTAGCTACTTAGTAAAAAAGGCACTATAACTAACCCTGGTAATTAGGTACACACCTGTGCTACAGATATCTGTAAAGAATCTGTTTCTCTCTGTGACTGAGAAAGCAATTCTGCACGCATCATGGTAGAAAGGAGCGACTGGTTTATGTATGGGGTTACTGCTGGTTTAGGTATGTGGTGATGGCTGGTTTAGGTATGTGGTGAGAACAACTCCCACAGGAAACACAGATTCATGGAAGAGACGTCCAAACTGCATTCCCTATTTCTACCAGTTCCCAGAAGGAAATCAGAAAAGACCATTTTACTAGTGCAGTTATACACAACTTACAGCTTGTCTTGGCCTTACTGAGGCAATTTGATGTGAGATCTTATTATATAGTTGTGCCAAAAAATGGAGGCAAAAAAATTCACTGTGAAGCTTCCCCATTAAAGATCTCCAGGTAACAAATACTTCCTTTTGGATGTTGACATTTTATTTAGGGATATAGTGAAAGAGGAAAAAACTAGCAATGAAGAGACAAGCAGAAGAGACTTCCTTTTCTTTACAGTTAGATTGATCTATTTGGGGATTACTGTTGGAAAAATCTTTCCAATATATTAGTGAAAAGGAAGCATTGGCAACAGCCATAAAGAAACAGATCTTACTTCTGCGAAGAGGGAACGAAAACAGAAGCTTGATTCTTTGTCAAGAGATGTAATTATTCACTGAAGAACCTTGGACCAAATTCTAAAACATTTGTCTTTAGCATTAAGCTATATAATGAAGACTGTAGGGGACTTTTGGACTCCCCCATGTGTCCGTGTTCAGGAGGGTAATTCCTTTATGCAGCTCTCAAGAATCCAATGTGCAAGGGTCTCAACGGCAGAGGGCAGGTACGCATCCCTCAAGCAGCAATCCAGAATCTGAGCTCCTTCCCTGACAGGCTGAGGGGCTGGTGGACAATGAAGAGGTTGTGACCAGCCTGAGTCATCTGAACAGCAAGGAATGTGCCAACACCACAGGACACAGTACTAGTTCCCAGTGCAAGACTGTATAAGGCAGGTTAAAAATAGAAACCAAATAAAAAAGAGAGGGGGAGGGATTTCACAGAGGAGAAGGAAAATCTAGGGGTCTCCAGGAGCAGCTGTTAGAATGGGGGAAGGAAGGGAGGGAGGAAGGGAGGAAGGGAGGAAGGGAGGAAGGGAGGGAGGGAGGCAAGTGGAGGGAGGGGGGAAAGGGAAGGGCGGGAAAGGAAGGGAAGGGGAAGGGGAAGGGGAAGGAAGAGAGGAAGGGAGGGAAAGAAGGGAAGAAGGAAATAAAGAAAAGGAAGGGAAGGAAAGAGCTGAGTCTTGCATCCTTTCCTTCAAACCAACACCCTTGATCCTGATCTGCAAGACCACAAAGAGTGACTGGGCAGTCCTCCTCCTTCCTTTGACTTACTGATCTTGATGCGGGCACTTCTAAAGTGACGTTTGATTTTCCTCTTTTGAACCTTAAAATTTTATAATCAAGAGTTCAGTGTTATTCTTGCTATTGTTAACTGGCATTATCTCTGAAAAACCTCATGTTGCTACTGTTTCTCCAAAAGCAGTCATCCATATAATAAGACAGTCCTTAAGGGATAACTACATCTTGAGATGTATTTGGGAATTTCAGGAGTTGAGGTATTCCTGCCATTAAATTGCAGGAGTCAGACTAAGGACTACATATATAAACCTGTACCCCTGAGCAAGGAACAGAAAGCAAACACATAAAGACTTCAGAAATTCTCCAGACTTAGCACAACAGATCTTTTGAAACATGGTGCATCGCATCTTTGGCCTTAAACAGTGCGAAGTAGAACGAGAGAATAGTCAAAGGTGAACTTCGTGAATTCACATTCAAGGGAACAGAAATAGAAACTTTTTTTGAGGGAAAAACTCCAGAAAGGAAGACCAAAGTCATCTTTAAAAAGCACTGCAATGAAGTGAAAGCAAAGGGTTTGCTGCAGCTGTGGAAGCATGGCAGCACGGTCAAGAACAAGATGGATGTAGAACGCTTTGAACTGCTTCTCCTCAAAGGAAGAGAGTTATAGATCAAACATGCTGCACTGTCGCATGAGGTTAGGATCCATGATGTCTGAATCGCCCTGTGGGCAAAATTGGACTGCACGCTTGTGCTGCTTCTCAGAGCTGTAGTACTTACTTACAGTTGAAGCCCATAAATCAGTACACTTCTTTCAGTTATGAGGTTATTTCTAATAAATGCGTGTAACCAGATCTGTGTTTGCTCTTTATAGTACCAAGTAATGTTGTGTGCTGGCCACTGATCTGAGAAGGACTCAATCTGGTATATCAAAACCCAGTACCAGCTGAGCAGAAACTAAACCTGTTTTGGCTACTATGGAATAAGCCCACCTCAGTTTGTGTACTGTTTATTTCAAAATAAAAATAAACTACTCTTCACGCACATGCCAGGTACTACGTATGTGAATGTATCTGAATGTTACCAAGTTTGGACTATAATTTATACTTGTGTCCAAATTACATGTGCATGCTTATATACATGGGCGTATGTGCACATGTGTACATATAACAGTGTTCAAATGCGTATTACACAATGTCAGTTCTCTACTGTTGGACTATTCTTGTACTATTGTACTATTCATTGTACCATTCTTGAAGAAAACAAAAGTATTAACCCAGTACCTACTTAATTCATCCAAGTGCTGTACTTTGTTTTTAATAGTAACAGAATAACTTGGTATCTTTGAAAAAACAGTGGCTTTCAAACTGCTTGTCAGAACCCCAAGAAGTTCTTGGTCGCCCTCCTGCTCCTTTTAGCAGAGGAACAAGGAGGACCAGTGGCTACCCCAGACTAAATCCCACTGTCTCTTCTCCCTCTTTTTTGCCCTTTGTCAATGTTGTTTTACACAGACTCCATTATTTTGAGCTAAAAACAGCAAGGGATGTTCCACATTCCTGCTCAAGAAGACAAACAAAAAAAAACAAACCAAAACCTATTGTTCATTTACTTACTTCTGAAACAGGAAAAAAAAACTTAAAGGAAAACCAACTAAATCCCAAACAAAGAACGGGATTTCTCCTGCTACAGTAAGTTAATCTACAAAAACTTTGAAGATGAAAAATATATTGTAAAAATAAAAAATATCATCCACTCAACACAGTACATAAATTTTCCTATATAATAAACTAGACAAACATATTTAAATACTTTAAGTCTTAAAAAAGGGCAAAATTCTTCAAAAATGACTCAACAGTATTAAGGTTAGACTAAACATTATGCCAATGCATTCACTTGCACAACTTTTTGCAACATGACAATTGCCTGGTGTGTGTACGCGTAGGTACATGCGTACGTGGGAGGGGAACAGAAGAACGCTAAGGGTGTCACTTGCCATTTTAAAGTGTCATTTCACAAATTATCAAACAAAAACCCCTACAAATACCAGTACACATCTCAAATATTGCAAGTCACATTCTACAGTCCTTGAAATTAAAAAAAAAAGAAAAAGCTGACTGACTTAATTCAAGTACATTTGGAGTAGGTGCCTTGTGATGTGAAGTACTGTTGTTTGCACTTTAGTTGCAATTAATGTAGCCAGAGCTCCCCAAAATATACAGAAGTGAGCACACCTTCCCCAGCCCTGCAAAGTAAGTCCGAGTTGAGGTACAGTGATGCGTGATTTGCTCAACGTTGTGGATGCTCAAACTTGAATGAAGAATGATGCTTGAAAAACACTTTGAAGCAAGTGACATAAAATAATCTCTTAAAACGAAGAGCTAGCTTTGTGTAAAGGCAGTCTTTTTGGTATGTAATCCTGTTGGGACAACAAGCATGGCACTCCTTCCCAAATTCTGGTCGTCTTGGAGCTAACAATAAAGAAGCCTTTACGCTGCCCTGGTCGTCATTCTGACCTGACGTACCCCTTCCCGTGAGCCTCCCTCCACCACCCAGAATAACCCCGTGGGTATCACACCCTGGCTGAAACATACACTGCTTCTTCACAACTTTTGTTCTCTACTTAGCTTTGTTCCTGAAAAGGAAAAGCACTTCCCACTCCCTGTTTCACACGTTCCTTTGAAAATACCGGTGGAGAAATCTGCCTGCTGAAGCAGTTAAAGTCTGGTGAAATCCCTGTGGTGCTGCAAGTCCCCTATGCTTTCATAGTCATTCTCTCCTGAAAGAACAGTGTGGTTTGTGTTAGGCACTGACAAGGTCCTGTCTTCTTCTTGGCTCACTGACTGGATAGCTTCATAGTCAGGCTCCAGCTCCCCATTTGGTCTGTCTGCTGACTGAGGCACAGTGGTAGTATTTAGGGTGTTTTCAAAGTCCTTCACACTTGCATAGAGGCCACTGCAAACAGATGGGGACCTCTGAGATGCAATTTCTTGAATACAGGTGTAAGGAGAATCCAGTGCCTTGACGGCCTGTCCCGGCTTACTCACCGATGAGTACATGGCTGAGATCTAGGAAAAGGAGACACCTGCTGAGTATTTAAGCATGGCATAAAGCTTGTGTGCCAGTTTGTACGCCTTCCACTACAAGGATGTTGGTTACTTAAGACAGGATCTTGTACTAAAAACATAACCTTTCTTACACAGAAACAAGGATTTTGTACAAAAACTTTATTTTCTGGCATGCATTTATAATTTGCTTTTCTTTCAAAAAAGAAGGTATTATAAAAGAAGTTTATAAATGTAAAAATTTAAAAATTCTTTGAACATAAGTTCCCTGCAGGCAAATTAGAGACAGAACAAAAGGTAATAATTTTGTGAGCAAGAGCTCTTGCAAGTTTTGCTATGGTTCTGGAGCCAGATTGGGCTCAATGGGGAGACAGGCGTCAGAGGGATGATCAGGTTTAGCTACTGTAATGTAGGAGAAGGATGCAGTCTGATCCTTAGGGTTTTAAAAATTGCTATTTTTAATGGTAGCAGCTACTTTTGTGCTTTTAGAGACACCCCAATAGAAGCATAGTTATTTGTTGTGTTTATAGGCAGGACCAAGGAAGCACCAAGTCATGTGAAGAGAACATTTAAAATCAAGAGATAAATTACGCACAGCAGAGAATAGCAAATAGTCAGTGCCCATCATGATATGCAAGGTCTGTTGTGTTGACTAAACTGCCTACAGAGGGGACCTGCATCTCAGTTACTGGGTATCAGAATTATAGACTAGAGACTAAAACCTCTCAGGTACTGTAAACACAAGAGAGGGAGCCAGAGTCTCACTCCTAGCTCTAAAAATCCTCTCTGAGGAGGTGGTATGCTTAAACAAGTGCATGAAAGTGACCCTTAATGAAGATGTGAAGGAGAAGCCCACATCCACACATGTCCCTCTGCTCAGGGCTTGCTGGGGCTGGTGCCGAGAGCCACTCCTGACTCCCTCTCCCAGTCAAAGTGGATACTAACCCTTGCACAGGGCAGTTGGCTGAAATTCTCTGCACTGCTTCTCTCTCTGGTACCTCATGTCACAGTGCAACATAGCTGCTCTGTTACATTTAAAGTTTTTTGCAAGCATACAAGGCCACTTAAAATAGTAGATTGGCACGAAAATGACCATTACAATTAAGACACACTGACTGATGCAGATGAACCAGATTCTGTATTTTTATTTTATTTTTTTTTTTATAAAGAGAGATATCTAGTGGCAACACTCCTTACTTTTTACCGATTTCAGCCAACCAAACAAAAAATTACTTTTCTGCTCATCCATACTTCAGCCGTTTCCAGAATTAAATTACATGAACCCAGTTTAAGGGTCAATCTATTCATTAATACCTGGGAGCGCTCCTCCCAGCAGAAAGCACTAGCTCACTCATCTCATTGTCATTTGTGTTTACTTTTATGTCTGGAGAACATATAAATTGCACAGGTGTATTGGTGATGATCACAAGTAACCTTATTTCTGTTTAACTTTTCTGTCTTTGTTTCAATCTCCTCAATTTATTTGACTAACAGACATTGTAAAGAATAGTTTATATTCCAGTGCTTTTATTGTGCTTCTGTTTACTTCCCAGAGCACCAAACACTTTGCATGGGGAAGGTGGAGCATGTTTCAAGAGGCTGCTGATTATTCTTAAGTAGAGCTTGTGTTCCAAATCAAGAGGCTGCCCTAACAATCAGTTAATTGTATGGCCTCCCATAATTTTCCGACACCATTTTTTAGCCTATGGACCTGATATAGCCATGTGCTAGAATACTTCTGATTTTAGGAACGTGGCAGTACAAACTGTGCAGAGAAACTTCAGCTTTCATTTTCCCTTCAGACAAATTTCACCTTTCTTAGATCCTGCTTAATCATGCAGAGCTTATGCTAATTTCTGCCTGAAAAAAGGTCTCTAGATAGTTACTGAATTTTGTGCAAGAAACCTACCTCATCTTCTGTAAGAGATGGATCTTCCTCTCGAGACTTGTAAGACATTGAACTAAGCCTCTGTAAAAAAGGAAGAAAGAAAGAAAGAAAGAAAGAAAGAAGAAAGAAAGAAAGAAAGAAGAGAAAGAAAGAAAGAGAGAAAGAGAGAAAGAGAGAAAGAGGAAGGAAGGAAGGGAGGGAGGGAGGGAGGGAGGGAGGGAGGGAAGAAAGGGAAAGGAAGGAAGAAAGAAGGGAAGAAGGGAAGAAAGAAGGGAAGAAGGGAAGAAAGAAAGAAAAGGCTCATTACCAGTCAACAGTGTGAAACCTGCAATAAAACCCTCCCATTACGATCAATACATTATATTTTATGGTCATTTGCTCACTAGTTCCATTTTACATAGCTAATATCCCTAATATCCAGAGTACATCTCTGGAGATAACAGCCCTGAGGTTAGTAGAGCTTTTAATGTATCTGCTCTTGTCCTGACCTGAAAAGGGTAAAAATAATGTAATGGTTAAAACAAACTGCTCTGCTGTATCCCTTCCTTTACACTTCTAATGAAGCAAGAAAGAACCTGCAAAGGCTTTTGAACAACTAAAAGTCAGCTGTTGTGACACACTAGTATGCCCTACATGTGATTTTCAGCTTTGCTTTTAGATGACAGAAGAAAAATACTCAACTGGCACCTTCCTGATGACTGTTATCCTTCATTCAGTGGATCCTGGAAGTGCTGCAAGCGAGGTACCATGTCCTCCTCCCCACAAAATGCAGCAGCTGGGCAGAGGTGCACAGCAGCACTGCCTCACAACCACTAAGACTGCCAACCTGGAAAAGACCTGCTGCAACCCACACTGAGATGGGCAGGTCAACCCTCAAAGCAACTGGCTGGATCCAGTTCACATAGCAAAGTTACTAAAGGATGGAGGGCTTGGTTTGGTATCAAGTCTAACTTCAAGCATGTGAAGTGTCATGTAGAAATTAGGTCATGAAACATTGGGGGAAAAGCATTTTGCTCTTATGACAAATGTCTTAGGACCTTTATGGCAACCTCACAGCAGCTGTGTGATTCCTGCCCCCTGCAAGGAGCTTTGCTGGGCTCCTGCTCCACAGCAATTCAGAAGCAGCCTTCCAGCGCTGTTTATAATGGTCTGTATTTTGGGGTTTCCTGCAAATTCTCCACCTAAGGCAGTTCAGACCATCTCCAGTGCAGACCAAGATGGAGAAGTAGAGCTATTCTTAGCATAGTCAATCACATACTGCTTGCAGGCACATACTAGACACACAAGACTTTTTTTTTTTTTTTTTTTTTTTTTTCCACAGAGGCTCATTATAACAGATTTCTTCCTACTTCCATTTTTCTTGGTGTTTTTACTTCTGGTAAATACCAAGCTTCAAACCCCTGGTGCACTTCTGATGAAGACCCTGACCCAAAGCACACTGAAGTCTGCCTGATGCTCCCCAGGGGGCTTCCCTGACACCTAATATCTCCCTTGCTTCCTTCTCACCGTCTGGAGAATGCACTCTTTAACCTGTGGTTTGTTTACTCATAAAAAAAAAAAAAAGAAAAAAAAAGGAAAAGGAGAAGTTCAAACATATATTTGCCCTTTATTAGATCTGCTTCACTACAGCAGATCAGTTTAGTCTTTCTTATTTCAGTGTATTTTTTGTGTTGAGAAGTTACTAATTTCATCCTCACACATTAAAACAAATGTGCTTGCAAAATTCTTCAGTGAGTTATTTTCTCTCATCAGTGTGTCTATAAGCACCACGTGTCAGGACCCCTTCTACAGTTTCCCACTCAAGTATTGATGAATACCCCATGGTGTTGGCAATCCTCTTGTTTCCCTGGGACCTAGTGTTCTTTCTTCTAAATGTGAAACCTGTGACATCAATTTTGAAGGATATTGTCATGTTGGAAACTGACAAAAATACTTGCTCCTAAACATTTTGTACCTACCAATATTATAAATTTTGCTTGAAACCTCAACAGCAGCAACACAAACAGCATGTGGCCTCATCTGCCTTCCACTTTCTTTTTGTTCCTCGACAGCACTTGATTTTTTGCTCTTTGGCTCAGCTGCTGCTCCTGACTTGGGCACCAGAACAAGAAGACCATTCTCCTCTGGTGCATTTGTAAGTGATGCTTTGCCCGTCCTCAGGCTGCGCAAGTCTGAAATCAGATGGCAGCAGCCAGATCCAGATGTACACATGGAGAGCATTTCTACCAGTGCTCACTCTGGAAAGACCTGGGTGAAAAAGGAGGTCTGTACTTTCTTCTTTTTTTTTTTTTTTTTTTTTTTTTAATTAAAAAGGAAAAACTAAAGAAAACTATTCTGCCCTTGCAGTTTTATTAGAAGAACTATGCTCAAGTTTTTCCAGGTGATGGAGGCCTGTAAGAGGCCTTGTGATATTAAAGGTGTCTTTCTTCACCAGAGCCTTCCAAATGATTTGGCTGGGTCATGGCCAGTAACCAATTTAGAAAATTAATTTTCACCCAAATATTGCACATCTGGCTCTTGAAAGAATCCTTTATCCTTTTCAGGCTGTTACATACTGGAAAAGTCTCTGGCTTGGTCCAGCTATCTCTCTCCTAAATGAGTGTGCTTCAGGACCTGGCATGGGCTGAGGATCATCCTGGCTGCCCTCTTCTACAGGGCGAGACTGAAAAAGCCCAGACACGGTCTGTTCTCCGTCTGTTGGGAGGTGCAAGTCTCAGTTACACAAGCAGCCTCCCTGCCTGTCCCTTCTTTGTGCTTTGCTAGAGCAAAGCCCAATTGTAGTGAGAGATACTCACACAACTTACGCCCAACCTCTGTCTTCATCAGGGTCAGGGGCAGAAGGTTGTAAAGTTTGGGATACAGATGTCATGTTAAGCAAGGCAGCTTAAATAGCCTCACAAGAGAGAAAGGAAAAAGAGAAACCCGTGGAGTCTGTTTAACTAAAAGAGTTATCAATATAACATTCATTTCCATAAATATCTTGGTTTTGGTTGCCACGTTGGAAAAAACAGGCATTGCTCTGCATTGTTTGAAGCAGAAAAATAGAGGGGAAAATTATCATCATCACAACAGAAAAACAATCCTGCAACCACCTCCCCACACAATGCCAACAATAATGACATTTATATATTCCATCAATTACCATTTCCAACTCTGCTGCAGCTGTAGCTCTCAAGGACAGGACAGGCACACGCTTCGATGCATAATGCATGTACCTAGCAGCAAACGCGGGAACTGATCTGATGCTGCTGAAGCTTTAACTCAGGATGGCTTTAGCTCTGAATAAATTTTAATTAGACAAACACCTTTTTTCTGGCACTTAGGGGACTGCATGTGTCATCTCTTGATTAATCCTTCAAAACCTGAACCATTTTAACCAATTCCCACTCCTTGCAGTTACTGACACTGTGTACACAGTGTGCTGGGGAGCTACAGAGCAGTAAATGCTTTTCCTTTGTATTGGTGCCTGGGAAATATGATGATTTTCTGCAAGTCTTTTCACATCTGGTAGGAAAAATGTCACTGTTACAGAAAGCTGTTTCTCTAAGAGTTTAATTAAAAATTACATATGGCCTGAACTTTGGGAAGGGGGAGTGTTGGTGGATTATTGTTGACAATCACATCTTAATTTTTTACTTAACAAGCTCGTTATTCGTAAGAATATGGACTGAAGAGTCCAGATAAACAATTTTTATATTATGAGTAGTCTTCAGTTTATTAATTTTGACTCTTTTGTGCTTTACAGGTTACATGGTTAGTCAGTTCTTTAGCAAAGTATTTTTCTGCCCTCTGCCTGAATTACTGAAATACTTCACATAAGAGAACAACCAGAAACAAGTAACAATACCTCAGCTCTGCTCTGATTTTTCAGGTAAATGTTTACATTAAAATGTTACATTGCATCTTAAGGATTTTTTGGAAATTTTCATCAATACCTAGTATTATTTGATGACTCATACACCAAAATTATATTAATCTGCTAACATTGCTGTTTCTTCATTCACAATTAACACTAAGTTATCTATACGAGTTCTGAAAAATCTAGACTCAACAGTTGATGAAAACTGTGCGATAATCTAAAAGCATCCTTAAAATTAATTGCAGTGAAAAACTAAAAATGGGAAAATAACTTGATGAAAGGCCATCATTTTATTTTTCCAGGACTTCACCTCTCATTTGTCCCTAGGCTGGGAGAAAGAATAAGCTGCTGAGGAAACATAACTTTTGGCCATGATTTCAGCAGGTAGAAATTCATTACTCTGTTTACGTGTGACATACAGAGTTTGAAAAATACGAAAGACTACAGTTGCAATCTCTCTTTCTGTCCCTGTGTCCTACAGAGAGAGATGAGACAAGCAGCTTTGAGCAGATGTCTGACACTTGCACAGCTAAATCAAGGTGGCCCAACAAAGGAGGCACATCTAAAGTTAGGGCATCCACCAAGAACGCCCCCATCTCCTTTTTGTAAATTGAGGTTTCATTAGAAAAAAACAAGGCGGGGATTCTGAACAAGATATAGATGCTGATGCAGATACTAGATACCTATTGCAATAGCTCTCACAAGTGTAATACCATTAAGCAAAGAAGCAGATGCCTCCTATGCAATTTCTGCATAATATTTGGGGAAAGCCGTATGAAGTGCATACTGCAACAATCCAAAACATAGGCTGCAACAGAATGAGTACCTGCCTATAGTGCAAAGACTATACTGTATGTTTTCATATTTCCAGATTTTACAGTCTTGTATCGCCTTGAGTGTTTTTTTCTTGGCATTTTTTTGTTATTTAAAAAAAAAAAAAATACTCTCCCACTCATATGTTCTCTATCATTATTTGGCTGTTTGACAAGTATTTGCAGTATTTACCTTCTCTGGTTTACTCGCTCCTTCCGTCACTTCTTCTTCTTCCACTTCTTTTTCTTGCACATTCTCATTTTCATCAAGAAGTTTCATGGGTACCGGAGGGGGAAGCTCATCCTCTACATCTGGTGTGTTGTCAAGAGGGCTTTCTGAATTAGCACTTTGGCGGCTTTTTTTATTTCGGTCAACAGATGCGTATTCTGCTGATTCAATTCTGCACTCAGGAATCTGACTCTGACCTTCAGAAACAGTCAGTGAAGCCTTTGATTTGCTGTTACAGCTCTCTTCCATGCTGGCTACTGGTCCAACATCTTTAATTTCCTTCACAGTTTCATACAAGCAATCTTCAACTATGTTCTCCTGAGAGGAGCTGTCTTTCAAGACTTCATAAGGCCCTTCCATTCCAAGACCTTGATCACTTTCTGCATTTCTAGATGAGATTATGGTTTCCATGGTGTTGTTAGGGGGAATACTGGGTAGTTCCCGGCTCTGGTGACATTTTATAGACTTTCCAAGACTATCCTGCTGGTCTAGCAGATCAGAGACAGATGTCTGTACTTCTTCATAAGGCTGGATACAGGCAGTTGTACTGTCTTCAGAGAGCACTAGAGGAAAGTGCAAAGAAGTATTTAAAACAAATGCAGAACTATAAGGTGAGTGGGATTTGGTACTCTCTACATCACTTCAGTTTTACATCTCATTGGAAAGGATAAATGATACTAATGCCTGGAAATGTCTAGTGGCCATTATGCTTTTTGTTAGCAAAAGGTTTCAGTTACAGAGATTTCTGCACTCTACTGTTAAAATCTCTTTCTCACAACATCTTAAATACTCTGTGCACCCCCCAAGTCACATTATATAGCAACAGCATTCACAGTAAAAACAGGGGATGGGTGGGTAGGTGCAGGTGTGCGTGAGTGTTGAGCTGTAACTGGTTATATTGAATGCTTACAGACTGCTCAGTAGTCTCAGATGGGGAACATTGGTGGGAGGCCTCGAACCAAGTGCCTTTAAAAAAAGCCTTGTTAGATCTTCCTCTTTCCACTTCCCTATCCTTTGGAATCAAAAAGCAAAGCATTTTTGTTTCCTTCCTTCCCAGCCCTCACCTTGTTTAACATGCTGGCCAAATTCTCGTCTGAATCACACCTCGCTCAGCCCTGCTGCAGTCAGCCTCCCTCCACGCTACACCAGAAGCTCCTCACTGGAAGGCTATGCCATACTTCTCTTAGTCTCGCAGCACATAATGTAGGTTGACAACCTACTAACGAGCCAGCCATATGCACAAAAGAGAAGACTAGACTTCAGAAAGTGGTGTTAGGCAGAACGTGTTATTTTAAGTCCCAGAAGTGGGTCACGAGTCACTGTCACTAGAGGGTATTAGGGACTGAAATCTATGGGACTTCTCATCTTACAGTGCACACGTATGACATTTGCCTGCATTCAGGGATGCATATGCGGGCACATACGAGCATGTTTCAGGTAGTATATGGTATGTAACTTTATGTGACGCCATTTCTTTGAAATATCACTTCTGAATAGCTTTACTTTTCTTAGTACAGTCCCTATGGTACTCTCTCAGCAAAATCAACGCATTCTTCCATTTCCTTCAGTGTGTTTGACATGATGACATGAAGTGTTGCCGAAGCAATCGGTACCCTTGATTTGGTGGTTGTCATGGACATTGCTTTCTCTTGTGCTCAGGGCGTGCAGACTCGTGCAGTCAGCACCCACAGGAAGCCCTACCCTGACAGCAAAGCTCTGGGTGGATCTGGAGGTGTGAGATGGAAATTGCTGTCTGAATGGGAGATGGGAGGAGAAGAAAAGGAAAACATCACTCTCCATTCACTTGGCTCCTGCGTGCAAATGGGGAGTAATAAGTGGAATAGAAGGAAGGGTCCTATTGCATCCTGACTAGGACACACTGAGTCCCACTGCCCAGGATGGCTGCAGACCTCCTGAGGAACATCAGGAACCAGCCAGCAGAAGCTGGAACATGTTTTCCCCTTCTGGTGCTTGCTCTCAGGGATTTCTGTGCTATGCAGAGCACTGCCAGAGGCCCCAGCAAGCACCCACCCTGTTCAGCCCCGGGGTATAACCAGAAGTAATGACAGCTCACATTTCTGTTCTCCTGTGGTGATGGGTAGTGACAGAGAAGGGGTTGTCATATATAAGGGGTTGGCATAGATAAACACAATGCTGGCAGGTTGGGTAAAGAAAAAAATAAACAACATTTGATCTCATAGCCCTGTCTCTGCTCAAAAGGCCAGGAAAAACAGCAAAAGAAAACTATTAACAAAAAGAATGCATAAAGTATAAATAAGAAATGAAAGCACATTGGTTCCTGTTATTCAGAAGGGTTGTTATGCAGAGTGTAAGCTGAGTAGTATCAGACAGTCTGAAAACTGTCTGCTGGTTGACAGCAAACCTTTTAGTAGCAGCTTTGACAGCTGCATGTGTGGTGACTTGTGGCAAAGAGAAATGCTTCCCTTCTGCAGGGCTTTGTGCATCAAGTTCTTTGCTGAGCCACACACCTACACACGCAGCAAGCCAATGGATGGAAGCAGTGATTAGCTGCAAAAACAAAATTTAAAAATTCCTTTGGATACTTGTCTCTGAGGGGTAAGGATTGAATAGCTTAGCCTCTGGCTACACAGTGAGATGAGGGGGGTAGGAAAGGAGAAGCACAGCCCATGGTGTCGGTGCCTAGTGTGGAGACAACAGTTGGCTCCCAGAGGCTCTGAGCTGAGACCGCATTTATTTTTAGGTGCAGCTGAGTAAAATATTTTCCAGTGATACTTCACTGTGAATCATTTTAAGCATTCAGCAAAGCAAAGACTAAGGGAAAAAAAAGGAAGCCTGTTCACGTTATCTGTTTTCTAAAATACAAAAATACACGCGACAACCTCGGACAGCACAGGACTCTGACCCAAAGCTGTAGTCCCTGGAGGGGACCTGAAATATTTTCGCAGCCCCCAGAATTGAAGCCCCGAGGTGCAACTGCATTTTCTGGTCACATCCCAACTCCATAGCTGGCCAAGATTAGGGAAGATCACAGTCTTTGCCTGACGGCCTGGTCAATCTGCAGGTGTAGCTGGGTGGCGCAGAGGAGGACCTTAGCACCCTCCCAGTGTTGGCTGGCGTAGAGGACTGGGAGCTGGGGTGTAGGGCTGTGCCAGGGCACAGCCTGGCAGGGAAGCAGAGACACAGACTAAAACGCCAACATCTCCATGGGATGGGCTACTGACTTGCCAGGAAGGCAAATGTGCTCACCGCATTTTTTTAACTTGATCGCAAATTTTGTGTGAATTATGCGCTGTGCAAAGAGGACTGACTGTCCTCCAGAAAGCTGCCTGCCCGGCCACTGCCCTGGGATACAGCAGCTGATCTGGCGTCAGACCTCCAGAGGTGAGCAGAGGGAAACTCAGGGTATTCAGACAATGGCCCGACTGTGTGCTTGGAAAGCTGACAGCTAGAAACCTAAGACCTGAGGGATCAGCAGCGTGCAGCTAAGGTGGGAGCTGTGAGCAAGGGGGTGGCACCTGCTCGCTCACCCCACCCGCAGGGGCTGCGCGACTCACCCTCGCCATTGCTGAGTGCCCCGTTCTGGTCGCTGCTCGGAGGGGGCTCTGTAGCCGAACTTGTGATCGAGTGGCTGAACACCTCCTTGTCGGAAGGCTGCAAGGCAAATTAGCGAGATCTAATCACCGTTGGATCGGAATAGATGTTTGCATAAATAGATACCTGATGAACTTCATTCTGATCCTGGGAGCTCTGACTCACAGGTACGCGTTATCGGCAAGAGAGTCAAACCATGCCAACTATAATCAAAGATTTAGGTGCCTGTGTTTACAAATGTTAAAACTGAATAAATGCAAGTATGTCCAGAGCGATTTCCCTTCCAACTTTCGTGGTAATAGAAATCATGGCTTCAACCAGTGAGAAGACAGCAGCTGACAAACAGGTACAGTGGAGTTGTGCTGCAAATGCAGTGAAAGGCAGGAGATCTGGAGCGACAATGGTGGCAGAAAGAACACTGAGAAAGTGCAGATTATCAGGGTCTACACAAGTTCTCCTTCTCTTTCTCTTCTGCAAGTTTTAAAGTTTCCCTTGCTCAAGCATCTCCAAACTCCTGAGCTATTTTCCAACCTGCAATATTTTGCAAGGGGCTTAGTGCAAGCTAACCACAAGACAGACACAAGCTGCCAGAAATAAATACTTACCACATTCATCAGATTTTCATGATCTCCATTCTGATGTTTAGCCTTCTTTTCCCTTAATGAAAAAGAGGTATGAACTGTTACTACAGATTATGCTAATATACAAATTCCAGTTGTTAATAGACCTTACACATCTGCAGGGAGCAGAACTGTGATTCACAATAATATTGAAGATGGCATAACTGAAAATTATTACAGGGTCTGGTATGATCTCTATGTAAGGTCACCATCAAGGCAGGGCAGAGATGAACACCTCTGAAGACATAGAAAAACCACACACAATCCTTTTTCTTGTTCAGTGCAAGATTGCAGTAAGGAGTAACTGATAATAATAAAAATATTATTATCCTCAACTTAAACATATCTTAAATGTTTGGAGATACATGAGATGAATGTTTTGGTGACAGACTACCTTAAACTGTGCTAGTAAAAGGTGTTTATCCTGTGAAGAAGTAGAAAAAACCACAAAATCCAGCCTTCTCCCACGCAGGATTCTAGTTATAATTAACAATAAGCATGAGCAGTTTAAGAAGGCCTACAAATTTCATAGTAGCAGAGGCCTTGAACTTAATTTTAAAAAGAATCCTGCTTCACCAGTTACTTCACAGGACTCAAAAGTATGAATCGCATTTCCAGGTTTTACCATTTTGGAAATAGAGCTCTTATTCTGAAATACTGTAGTAAACCATGAGCTTGAAACAGTAATGGAATCATAGAATGTTTGGGGTTAGAAGGGACCTTAAAGATCATCTTGTTCCAACCTCCCTGCCATGGGCAGGGACATCTTCCACCTAGACCAGGTCACTCAAAGCCCCGTCCAACCTTCCAGGGAGGGGGCACCCACAGCTTCTCTGGGCAACCTCTGCCAGTGCCTCACTACCTTCACAGTAAAGAATTTCTCCCTTATATCTAATCTAAATCTGTCCTCTTTCTGTTTAAAAGCATCACCCCTCATCTTATCACTGCACTCCCTGATGAATAGTCCCTCCCCATCTTTCCTGTAGTCCCCCTTTAAGTACTGGAAAGCCACTACAAGGTCTTCCCAGATGAAAAGGCAAGTAAAAAGGAGAGAAAATATTGATGATATGAACTCTGTGCTGCTTCTGAAGTCTGCAATGCACCGTACCTCCCACATTAGCAACTTAAAATTCTACCTAACTGGTAAATAAGAAAACAGAGCAACTAAGTCTGCACCAGTGCAGAGCATGGTTAAAGTTTACATATACTTTATGTCCTCTCTGGAAGTTTTCTGACTCTGATGTTTTAGAAAGAGTAGATTTTGTTCATTTTTCCATGTCCCCAGCCATTTTTGAAGAGTAAGCTAGGAAGAAATTTTACATAATTGAATTTATGCATAAACAACCTGCCCTACAGAATGACCTGAAATAAAAGATACGGCGTCCAGACTAGCAACACAAGAATTTATTAAAGAGCATCATCAGATAGTTTCTGACAATGTGTCTCTGTAACTGCAAATAGGTACTCAGTGGTTTGACTATTTTAAAAACACCTTTCTAGAGATGTTTCAAGGACTAGAGTATTGCAAAACAAAACACGGTACCTAAATGCAATGTCTGTGGGCTATAAGGATTTTTCAAATAGGTTTTATACTTTTAAATACAGAAAAAAATACATATTTCTAGTATTTTTACACAAGTATCATAGGAAACAGTGATAAATAGGAAGATACTGAAATGTCACCTAACAGCTTACAAAAGCATTTCTCCTGAATCACATGACATTACAAGTTCCAATTTAAACTTTTTAGGGTTTCAACCAACTTCTGGGATCTGGTCTTGCCCATGACTGTTTTTCACAACGTGGGCATTAGAGAAATCCTGCTGAAAAACAGAACTTTCCACAGTAGACACACCTTATGCCAATATAGTGTATTTTATAGCTGCACAGCTTCCTCAATGCTCTGAATGCTGAACAGCTGAAAGAACACGCTCCTATAGGCATAAGGGTCCAAAACAAACACTTTGCTGTTGTACTGAATTATGGATAGTGTTGTTTTTTTCCCCCGTACACTTGGCTGATTGAGCTATGCTGTCAAAATGTAGAAATACGGACCAAAGCAGTCCTCCTCCTTTATCGTGAAGGGTCTGCCCAGTCTGCCCAGCTGGAAGGTCACCGTGGAATGCTCCAGGCTGCCCAGCTCCCCTGTGCAATCAGCAGGGCTCAGCTTACGTGTCATGAAGGGGCCTTGAAATGTGAATAAACAAAGTCAGTAGAAGTGCCCGTACTGGTGAAATCGAACCCTCTTATGGAGAAGAAAATAAAGATAAGGTATGAGTATAAGACATTAATTAGTATTAGCCATTTGATTCTTACTCGTTTTGGCTTGAACAGCAGAATCAAATTCATAGTCTTCAGGAATGGCCAAAGCAAAGCTGAAATACATAGAAATTGTTTTCGTTTCTTTTTACCTATATCCTTTTTGGTCCTGTTCAGCCCACCTAATTTTCTCAGTTTCAGGGTAGCAGTGTGATCTGCTAAGAGTCAGTGTCTGCCTGCACTGCAGGCTTCAGCTGAGGAGAGAGCACCTAGCAAACACAACAGTGCTTTTCCTTCACAGCAAAAGAAAAAAACAGTATTTAGAATGAACAGAAATGTTCAAATTTAGGTTTGCTCTGAAAACAGGCTTTTTACCATGCTTTATTTATTTATGCTTGTACCTAAGTTCCCAGTATGTATTGCTAGCTAGTTATTAGTGAAGCTATTTCAATCCTCACACTATTTGACTCAAAAACTGTTACTGCCTGCTAAACTCCTGAGCCTTACCTCTTGCAGCTGGAGCAGAGGAAGATGAGGAAGGTGAGGAAGAGGAGTGTTGTCATGGCTGCCAAACTTCCCCACAGGATGACGTGGACCTGTCCACTGCCTAAGAAACCACCTTCTGGCCCCATGGTACTGAGCAGGAGCTGAAGTCACTTGGAGATGAAGAGATTATTCCTTGGAGAAGGCTGGCATCTGTGCTGCGTGCACCTTCTGTTTCTGCAGAAAGAGAAACACTATTAAAGGTTAATATAAGTTTTTAAGCTAATGCATCTTAAACATGCCATGTAAATGGTATTTATGATATATAAGCTTTGGTATACAATATATTATAAAATTTTATACATATTTTTAATGTAAAACATTGTTGACATGGCAAAATTAAAAGGAAGTTTTTCATTCTGCACAGCTGGAGGTATCAATTTCTCTGTAATTTAGAAATAGGCTATGTAAAGTCTATTTACAGGCTTTCAGCCAGACTTCAAGATTGATAAACGCTGAAATAGAGTATAATGGCTAAGAAATGAGCAGTTATCTTTTGGAAATGAAAAAGTAGCCCAAGGTTGAATGCTATCAAAGCCACTAGGACTTACATTTAATTTTACGCATATATTTTCATAAGTGACTTATTTATGCACATTTTTTTGTTTGTTTTGCAGCAGAAACACACTTTGTAATAGCAAATTCAATTAGGTACTAATATATCTATATAAAAAAACCCACATCACCATTTTGTATTAAAATCTTATGAGAAAAAGGATTAATTTCATGAAAAAGGCCATGCACATCAAATGAAATCTGTGACTGAGTAGCTCTTACATAAAATGGGGCCATTGGTTTCTACCATGCAGGATCAGACTTCCGGACACCTTCCAAGAAGAACCAATTCTTACTAATTTATCCATGGTGGATAAAAGCTTTTTTTTTTTTTCTTTTAGATATTAATGGCATTGAAATGGCAAGAAACAAAAAAAAAAAAAGATGGAAGAAGTTGCTGATCCTGGAAAGGCAAACTTCAAAGTGTAGTTAAATATTTCTAGTTTGGCCAAGTTGTAAGAAAGCCAGATAATCTGTAACTTCTCCAAACCCATAAATACACAGGATGGGAAGAGTAGGTGTCACACACCTTGCCAAAGCACAGGTATATCTTACTGACACCAAAAAGTAACTGCTTTTTGGGGTGACCACTGCCAAGGAATGTGCCTCTGTGGTTATCTTGGTAGAGCTTGAAAAATTAAACATTTAAAAGCAATGGCAGACCACTGTAAAAATTATGTATATTGCAGATGTGAATCTGATACAGCCCTGCCTCATCCCTGTTTTAAAGTAAAAAAATGGGGTTATTTCTACACTGAATCACAGTCATATCACTGTGAAATTGAGAGACCTTAAGAGAAACGGAATCAGATTTAGCCAAGAGAAAATCTGGTGTAATGCCCACAGAGACCTCTCTGATGAGGTGCAAGAGCACCATGCATCGGGATGGATTCCTGTAGAGGTGATAGACTGTCTTCATTTAGAAAACACTACAAAGTACACTGCACTGGCTGCCTTAACTAGCTCCAAAACTTTGTTAAGTGTTTTGAATATAAAGTATTTTTCTTTTCAACTTTTATTTTTTCTGAAATTTAAGACATTTTCTGCCCTGTTAAAGCTTATAAAAAATATTCTTAAGAGATCTTCTACCTTATTTTGTCTCATCCTTTTGCATAATTTTCTTCCTTCCTCGGAAGAGAAGGATGAAATGAAAATGAATGTGAGAAAAATGAAAACTGAGTGAAATATTCTTTCAGCATTTTTGTTGTTTTCTTCCTTAGTTTTCCCAAGAAATAAAAAGAGAATGCAAATGATAAAGAAACCTTTTTTTTTTTTTCTTTCCCCAAATATTGGGCAAAGAAAAATAAAAGAAAAAGAATAGGGATTTCAAAATATTTTTCTTTTTTCTTCAAACAGAATCACATTTATTTTTTTTAAAGCAGACACAAAGTTATCTTGAAATATATTATTTAAATTATTTCTAAGTTCATTATTTTATACCTGCTCTGAAGAACAGTATTACACTCCTCTCAGAAGACCAAGTAATGTACCAGAAGCTAATGCGGTAGGAAAAGTTATTCTTTTATTCTAAACATATATTCTTAAGGCTGCTGGCCTTTAAATAAAGATAATATTTGAGCTAAGGAAAGCTAAGGATGCATGGGGAGCAGCCCCATAGAAAAGCTGCATCTTTGAAGACTTCAGTACAGAGTTAGGAAGTGTTGGGATGAGCAGAGCGGATGGAGTTGAGACTGAGCTTAAAAAGGAGTGAGATCAGAGGGAGAGAGTCGAGAGAGACCTACGTGTGAATGTCAGGGGTGAAGTGCAAGATCGAAGCTAGACGTGAGACATCCCACCAGGCACAAGCCAAATGGAGCAAAGAGAATGACCAAGGACAGAAGATGCAGTTAATCTACAGCAAAAGAGCAAGAAATCAGATACCAAAGCTTTGACTGTAGGTTGAAAGAAAGAGGTCAGAAAAGGTTGGAAAAGTACAGTGGCACTTGAACCAGGGGAGGCAACTGCTGAAGACACCAGTTACCTGTGCAAGCATAATAGAGTAATAAATTGGAACAGATTGACAACAGATGAAGCCCTGCATGAGGGAAGCTGAGCAGGCAAGATGTGACTAGCAACCCCTCTCAGCTACTTGAACAGCAAGAGTTTGGCATAAGTGCTAGAGGACCTAGAATCTGCTCAGCATACAAGACAACCAGAAGTAAATATAAATACAATACAAAAAAAGCATGCCTACATTCACCCTCTGTGAACCCTTCTCACAAAGTGCCATCTGAGGGCTTACTCCTACTCTTGAATGCCTCCCAAACAATGAGGCTGAAATAGGATTCACTCGGGCAGTGGTGCCTTTTACACAGGAGAGCTGCTGAAATACTTGAAGCTGGACAAGTACCCTTCAGCTGCCCTGACCAGCCCTGGACAGAAACCTGGCAGAGAGATACACGGAAAATACAACTGCCTAGACTCCCTCTGCTTCCGCTTAGTGAATGCCTGGACACTAAAATGTTAATGTATGCCTAAGAGAATGGACTTCGTAGCTGCTTCAGAGGGTAGCTTTAAAGAGAAATTTATTTGCAATCATAACTATAGAACAACACGCAGCTAATTTCAAAGAGCTCTTAGCTGAGATGGTTAACTCCTGCTTTTACAATGAAAAGTGATATTGTGCTGCCCTCTGGTGAATCTCTCCATTCGGGGACGGGGTTTTGTGGCTCTTGCCAGGGTTATTCAGAGCTGAATGCAAACCTTGCTGGTAAAGATGGAGCTGGCACTGGGTCTTTCATTTGATGGGCTTAAAAAATGTCTTACCTCCACCCCTGGAAGAGTTCCAGACTTGCATAGTTTAACCTTGCAGAGAGACACCGCTGAGACAGAATAACAGTCAATTCTGTTGGGTCAACAGTCAACCAAGAACTGCTGGGTTTTATTTATTTATTTATTTATTTATTTATCTATTTATATTATTTATTTTTTGGTAAGTGATGATCTGTTTAAAATAAAGATTTCTTTGTTGTACCCTTTCCACAGAAATCTCCACATAAGTTGCTGGTGATGCCAAACTATACAAATGAGTAATAGAGAGAGGCCTGGAATACCTGAATAAGAAAAATGGTTATTTCATCTAAGGAAAAATGCAAGCCACAGTTCGTGTTCACCTATCAAAGCCATTATCAGTTCAGAAAACCAATCCTTACACTATAGTGAATAAAATTTCTCCTTCTTGTGGCAACCTTCTCTTGCTTTTTAGACATCAATATTTGCCATTAGTGGAACCTATATGGCAAATAATACCCACAGCCATCTCCTCCAAATGGTACTTAAATGCGCAATTACATTTACAATTTCAAAAAGAAGGATATTTCATTTCATGACCTGCACTTTCATGGTGAATAATGTCTTATTTTTCCTTACAGCTGTTGCGGGAATAAAGCAGAGCTGAGGCAGTTCAGCCCGAGTTGGTGATGATGGGAGTGCAGGACATGCAAGTGCACATTTGCTGCCAAACTGAAGGATAAAAAACTGTATCTAGGTTGAAGCAGTTTTGTGTGTAAGATACAGGGTGCAATTTTAGGGACCACGTGGAGTGACAATTTCAACTAATCAGGAAAAGCTTGGACTGAGATCTGAACTCCTCGGAAGCCTGGGAATGGACAGATTCCAGCGTGCTTTGGGACCAGGATCTCACCTGGGTTTTCTGAGCAAAGACCCACCCAAGCGTACGGCGAAACGCACTGGGGACGCGCTTTGTGGGAGGCAGACGCCATGCCTGGGAGGCCCAGCAAGAGATGGCAGCGTGTCCTCCTCCCACCGCCCTCCCCTTGGCTTCTGGGTTTATAACCATTCGTTTCATGTCCTGCTGCAAACCACACTCAGCCCACGCTTTCCAGAGGGGAAAGAGTGGGAAAAGCCGATGGCTTCACCCCTCTGCTTTTCTTAATGAATTATAGAGGGAGCATAGGCAAGGGGAGAAATTGTTTTGACAACTGAGTGACTTTGAATGTGAGAAGCCAAATACGACAGGACAGGAGAGATTCGGGGAGGGCTGCAGGATCGCGACTCCCTGTCCTGGGCTGTCAGGCTGGATTCGGCTAACCCGGGCACTTCACAGGAGCTTCACGTGCTCGCCTCTGTGCTGAGCTTCGGTTACAGGGCTCCTCCTTGGACTGCTCCGTCTCCTACTGCCCTCTTCTCCCTCCCACTCCTCCTGTTCCCAGTGCTTTCAGTTATCTGCTGCTAAACTGCAAAGCAGATCCATCAGATCACCAGGTTTGGAAGATCCCCCCCACCCCCACAGTTCAAAACTTAGAGGGAGAGGGGAGAGTGGGGAAGAAGGTCATCATTTTTAAAGGAGATTTTTATTGGTCTGGTAGAAATCCCTGAGGGACCTGCGTTAAGTCAGAAAACGGTGAAGGACAAGATATGTGGAACCATGAACTAAGACAGGAGCTGACAAATATGAAACTAATGTCCTGTCATCTACACCCAGCTGCAAACACTGTCATTCAAACACAAAAATGGAACAGAAACTTGGGCTACAACAAACAGGCAGCGGCAGAAACAGTCTGCAGGTGCAAGTAGCATCTGTGGATGCTGATCCTTTTATCTTCTGTTCCTCCAAATCAGAGAATGGTTTGGTTTGGAAGGGATCTTAAAGACCATCTAGT